CACCATGCACCCATGGTCAGCCCTCCTCTCTCCTGACTCTTGATACAAAATCAAGTGTCTGTATGCTCGTGGGGACACACATACACCTGGCCATTACCTCCAGAACGCCAGGGAACCTGCCTGGAGTTCTGCCACCCCTCAGCCCGTTCCTCCACACACTAGTATCCTGGCACCACCTGCCCCGGGTGGATGAGTAGGTGAATGAGCGAATGGTTAGTGAACAAGTGAAGGATGAGTGTATTTGGGGTGGGAAAGTATGGAGACAGGATAACAGTGTGGATAGGGAAGTGGCTGAGTAGGTGAACGGGAGGTACCAGGATAGGTCAGTGACAGACTAGATGAGGAGTGACCAAGTAGATGGCAAAGGAACGGTGGGGTAGCGGATGTTTGGTGGAGGGTGGGTGAATGAATGGGCGGAGTGAGTGGGTGGGCGCAAGGAGTAGGTGGATGGGGAGACAATGTCCAGTGGGGGGTGCAGCACTCCTTCCGGGCAGCTCTGGGGCGGGGGGACTCTGTTTTGCCCTGATTATCCCGACCCGGTTCCCTCTAAGCCCTTTCCCAGCCGGGGGCCCAGCCATCACCTCCTTCCCGCCCTGCCCCTCACCTGTGGGCTCCCGGCTGCGGGCCTCCTGAAGGTATCTCAGCGCACGTGCGTAGTCGCCCAGGTGGTAGAAGGCAATGCCGGCGCGGTAGGTGGCCTTGAAGTTGCCCTGCTGCTTCTCCAGCACCTTGAGGCAGTACTCCCGCACGCGCTCATAGTTCACCAGCTCCGACTGCAGAAGGCAAGCTGCAGGGGCGCCGCGCGTGTACTCTTAGAGTCTGGTGGCAAATCTAGAACCCACGTGACTTCGAGGAGTCTGGTCTCCCACCTACAGGGAACCTGGGTCCTACCCCATCTCCCAAGGGGGCTAAGGCCACCAGGAGGCGCCAATCTGCTGTCCCATCAGAATAGGCTCAATCTGCAATGCCGCTAGAGGGCGCGAAAGACAGATACGCCCCGGTGATTAGCAAGGTTTCGGTAGACAAGAGTGTTAAGGGTCGCCGCAGAGGCGAGGGACTAGGCATAGAATGGCTAGCCCTTCTCATCTTAGGGTCACTATTGGCCGGGGGCAGAAAAATGACAGGGGAAGTGGGATTCTGAAGACCCAGATCAAAGCCCATTTCGTGCATCTCAGCTCCCTCCATTCAGAGACCCAGAGCTTTGATCATCTGCCCTCAACTCCTTGCCTTGATCAAGTTTCTGAGGTCTCTCTCAACAGACCATGCATGGCTGTGGCCCCTTCAGCCTCCAGCCCCCGCCCGCGGTCCCCAAGACCTCCTGATGGTCCCTCACTTCCCGCTTCTCTCACACATGCCCCTCTGCGTGTCCCCCGATGGTGGCCCCGTACCCGTGAGAGAGTCATAACATTCCACCTCCGTGTTCTCCACCAGGCGCCGCTGCTCCTCGCTGAGGCGTGCGGGCCCGGGGCTGGTGGCGGGCCCGGGGGCGGGGGTGGGCAGGCCTCCAGGGCGGGCCCCCTGCGCCGCCTTCAGCTGCAGCAGAGCCCGGTGGTACTTGCCGATGGCTTCCCGGAACTTCTTCTCTCGATAGCAGCGCTGGCCCTCCGCCTTGAATGCCACGGCGGCCCGCAGGCTGCTGTCGAGCGCCGCAGCCAGCGCCCCCGACGGCTCTGGGGCAGGACCCGGTCGAGCCGAGCCATGGCGGGGGCCTGGGCCAGGGCCCGGCGGGGAGAGGGCGGGAGGCGGGCGCGGCGGAGGCTCCGGGGCAGCGCTGAGCATCAGCACCGGGGACAGCGCGCCGCGCTGCATTGTGGGAAACTCCTGCGGCCGCCGCTGCAGCTACCGCATCGCCCCCCGCGGGGCCGGTCCCCACCCTTTCTCCGCCCCCGCACCTCCGGCTGCCGATTCCGGCTGCCCCCTATGGGTCTAGAGAAGCCCCTCAAGACTTTCCCTTCTTTTCTTCAAACCAGCCCCAGTCATTCTCCTCTCCCTTATTCAACACTCCTCTCACCCGCCCGCCCTCTGTCTGCTCTCCTCCCCCGTGTCCAAAGCTCCCGAAGATTTTCAGCAGGAAAAGATGGGCCCAAGGGGAGGACCTGAAGATATCAACCTCGCAAAAAGCTGGTTTTCAGCCCACTAAACATTTGGTGTATTGGATATAAACACGGAATAGGGATTCAAGCTGTCTACATCAAATTCCCTTTATTTTCTCGCTAGTTGTATCTCACTTAAATTACCTGGAACTCGGAATCCAGTCACGTGGGTTAATAATATCCACCTTGGAATTCATTCACTTATTTATGCAACAAACAACTATTCACTTTATCTTTTCTGTGCCTGGCTCTGTTCTGTATGATTCTGGGATGCACTAAAGCCCGAGGACTTCAGACCTTACCCTCACCAGGCCCCCCCAGGCCAGAAGAGCGGCAGACCTGTGACCAACAGTGACAGCCCACAATGGACTAGCTAGAAAGAGCAAGAAGAGAGTTCAGGACTGAGATGGTGGAGGCATAACAGAAGGCAAGGGCTCAGAGGAGGCACCTGCCCTTGGCAGAGGTGGCGAGTGAGGGCTTCCTGGAGGAGGCGATAACTCTACAACCGAGAGAGATCGGCCTCTTGTGCTCAGCGAGCTCACCTCCTGTGAGAAAGCAGACACGTCCCCAAGAAGTCCCTGAGAGAGGGGCACACTAATGAAAGAATATGCAGGGAAGGAGATGTGGGAGGTTCACAAAAGCAAAATGGGGTGAAGGGGACGATTGCCCTGCAGCCCTCCTTAGCCCCCCACTCAGCTGTGTGACCTCTGCCAAGTTCTCGGATCTTCCACTTCGACTTCCTTCTGTGACACGAGAATGACAAGTAAGTTTACCTTAGGTGAGGACTGAATTCTATCATGCAGGCAAAGCACTCAGCACAGGGCCTTGGTACAGTCATGGGTGATTTCTTACCATTTTATCCTCAGGTATTTAGCCACAAATACCTGACTTGGCCTCAGCATTGGTATGTACTTGTTTTTTAAATTTTTACTGAATTATGGTTGCACATAATGGCAGGATTTGTTTTACATATTTGTACATAATGGAACAATAATTTGGCCATACCTTTCCCCAGCATTTCCCCTTTCCCTCCCCCTGTACTGATCTCCCTTCCATTTTCATGAGACTCCCCTCCTACCGCCACACCTTTTCTTTCCTTTTTCCCCCTCTAGCTTCCAAATAGGAGAGAAAATGTGGCCCTTGACTTTCTGAGTTTGGCTTATTTCACTAACATAAGGTTCTCAAGTTACATTCATTTTCCTGCAAATGATAATTTCATTTTTATGACTAAAACTCCATTATGTATATGTGTATATATATGTGATACATGTATAGATGTATAAACATACATAGACGTACATATGCATATGTATCACATTTTCTTCTCCCATTCATCGACACCTAGGATGGTTCCATAGTTCAACTATTGTGAATTGTGCTGCTATAAACATAAAATGCAAATGTCATTAGACTATGCATTTTATGGAGGAGTGGTATGGCTGGGTCATATGATAGCTTTATGTCTAGTCTTTTGAGGAACCTCCATACCAATTTCCATAGAAGTTGTACTAATTGACAATTCCACCAACAGTGTAAAAGTGTTCCTTTTTCTTCATATTCTCTCCAGCGTTAACATTTATATCTAATTGTCGAATTAGTAGTGAATAATCTTATGTATCTCCACTGTCACCTTAGGGGCACATCCTCTCCCTGGCAGAGTTCCAAAATTCCATGGCAGGCCCCACTCAATAGCCAAAACCTGAAATCAATACCTCCCATCCCAGTGGCAGCAGCTGACTCTGTTATTGTAATTTTTGTAAATTTCTTTTACTGAATAAATCCCTCCCCTATTCCCCGGGTCCAACATGAACACCCCAGGCATGGAAATATCTTCCTCTCTGCACCTCCAAACCCAGGTTTAGTTAGGAGTCTAAAGTCCCCGAGTGTGAACCCCAAAATCACACTAACTTTTCTGCACCTCAGGGGTGTCTCTGTGTGTGTGTGTAGTTTTTTTTTTTTTTTTTTTGTAAATGGAAAACATGGAAATCCATTGATTTATAACCAATGTTTTCTGACCTATTAACTAGCTAGGTGCTAGGGCACAGTGGTAATTGTGGGTGGTTGTACCTCACTCCCAGTCATTCTAGGATACAATGCAAACACTTTTACTTCTATTGTCCCCCTTGCCCTAAAGCTTTGCATACATATTAACTCACATACCACACCACTGTGAGGTTGCTGCTCTAGGTTACTGACATGTGGCACTTTCAGGGTTAACTAAATCAAACTCCATTTATTGATTTCTCTCAAGGACTCCAACCAACTGATGACCTTCACAGGCCAGCATATATGATGTGTTGGGCTTGTACAGCCATTAAAAAGGACTAAATGATGCCAGGAATGGCGACTACCATATGTATAATTGCAGCTGCTCAGGAGGCTGAGGCAGGAGGATCGTAAGTTCAAAGTCAGCCCCAGCAATTTAGTGAGGCCCTAGGTAACTTAGCGAGACCCTATCTATCTCAAAAAATAAAAAGGGCTGGGGATGTCTCTCAGTGGATAAGAGCTCTTAAGTTCAATCCCCAGTACAAAATAAATAAAAATAAATAAATAAGTTAGAGTTTGTTGAGAACATAAGGCAGAGATGTTTATGGAATTGCAGATTTTTAGACTCACTTGAGTGAAACCTGAGAAGCTGGCACCATGAAGGTAGAATTCTTCAGGACTGGGGCGGGCATCTCGGTTGCCCTCAGTTCCTGTGTTCCCAGCCCTGAGGCCCCGTTTTCCTAGCTGAGGCTCCGGTGAAGTCCTCCAGTGCCCCCTGGCGGAGGAGTTGAGAATTTGCATTTTCTCTCTCCTCAACTAAGAACTGGGTAAGGATATCCAATCAGAGGGAGGAGAGGCCTAGGGAAGCGACCAATCAAAAGCGAGAAGGGGACAGAATTGGACAAGTAGGACCCAGCGCGCTCAGAATAAAAGAGACTCTTTTATTAAGGTGGGGACGAACACACAGTGAGAGTTTGCGTTTGTTTTCTGGGTGGGTCGTGGCGCTCAAGGAGGCCCAGGCTGGGGGCGCCGGAGCAGGAGGGCGGCGGCGAGGCTGGTGCCCTGGCGCTGGGGCCGCGCGTACTTGAGGAAGACCGCGGCGCGGCCCGGCGCCGGGCCCCGCAGAGAGGCGCGGACCATGCACCGCTCGAGGGGGTCCAGCTCCGCGGAGCTGCAGTGGAGAGAAGGGGAGACTGAGGCAGGGAAGGGGCGGGGAGAGCCTATCCCCGGGCCGAAGGCTCGAAGCTGAAAAGATGTTTGACACGGGCCCCGGGGGCGGCCCCCTCGAGGTCGTGATGGGGGCACTGAATGCGGCCACAGGGAACCCAGAGATCCCATCTGCCCCCCGAGGCAGGCCGAAGGGCCCCCCCCAGCCTGCGCACACACCCCTATCCACTCACATCCCCCAGAGAAAGACAGACCCTTCCGGGCATCCTCTCCCCCACCCAGAGACATCGAGTCCAAGTTGCTCCCCGTCCCAAATTGTCTCATCCTGACATGGGAAAGACCCAGAAGGGAGCGACCCAGAAGGGAGGCTATCTGAAGCGGCGGAGACCTACCACCGCCCTCTGCCAAGGCCACACCTGTAAAGCATTGGCTTGGGCCTGGAGCCCGCTCCGTCGAGCATGCGTTGCGCCAGGTTCAGCGCCGCAGCTGCGCGACGACCAGGCTCCCATCCCGCAGCCTCAGCCTCCAGTAAGGACAGCTCCAGGAAATAGGTGGCCAGCAGCATCACCTGCCAGAGAGGCCGGGTGAACCTCAGGCTACGGCTGGCCACGCTGCTCCCTCGCACAGGCCACGCCCTTACCCATGCGCACCTGGGGGCCACTCCCGGCCAGCGCGGTGAGCAGCTCCAGGCACAGCAAGGGCCCAGGATAGTGCAGTCGGAAATCCAAGCGGCTCAGGATGCGGCGCTCTGCGCGCAGCAGCTCTGCCCTCGAGAAGGAGCCGGCACTCAGAAGGCAGAGGGAGGCAGGCTGAGGATTGCGGGGAAAGATGTGAGGTAGCCTTGGACTCCCAGCCCTGGAGCACCTGGGGTCGGCTCAGTCCAAGTTTCAGACCTCAGTTTCCTGGTCTGTAAAACGGGGCCATTGACTTGTGTCTGAAAGTCGTGGATGTCACTAGCATCAGAGTCATAATGACCGGGTTCAATGTACCATTTATCCACTATGTGACATGGGACATTCGTTTCCGCTTTCCATTTCTTCTTCACCCTTAAAACCGAGATGATACTCCCTACTTCATGACACAGCTTTGAGTTTATGCATGTTAACGCTCAAGGGGGACTATGACTACTGTATTCAAGATGGAATCCAAGTTTCAGCTGTTTAAATTCCGGGCAAGAGTTCCCTTATGGTCCGTTTCCTCCTCCTGTTAAAGGGACACATTAGCAGCCCCGTGCCTCGTACAGATTCGTTAGGATTCCAAGAGTACACGAAGAGTTTGGCGCACGGTGGGCATTTAATCAGTGACTACAGCAAAGGCCCCACCCTCCCAAGCCCCAGCCCTCGAATACCTCGGGAAGCACGCACTCTTCCATCTTGCACGCCAGGAACAGGCAGGCCATGCCCAGCAGCTGCAGGCGGTGAAGGCGCACTCTGCCGGCACGCAGGTAGGAATCGAGCAGGTGCACCGCCAGGTAAAGTGTGTCTCCTGCCAGGCACAAGTACTCCTGGGGAGGGGCACAGGTGACCATCAGGGTCTCAGGTAGTGACAGGGAACCAGCCTCGCACCCTCTCCACTTACGTACGTGCACCTGGACCAGCCAGTCCACCACTAGCGCACGCATCTCTGGAGTCACTGGGCGGGGCAGGGGTCTCCGGGGCAGCGCGTGGCACACCTGGGGATGGGCAAGACAGGCCTCATTCTCCACACCTGTGCTTCTGTCGCTCTTGAGCTCCAGCCCGGGGTGCAACAGCCTCCTCCTGCAAAGTTGGATGTAGCAGGAGTGCCACACTGAAATCCGCCTCAGCTGCACCTCTTCCACAACCCCATCTGGAATCCTGGACTTCACTGTAGATACCTCCCTATCCACCTGTCCACTGTGGAGCCCCCATGGCCACACAGCTTCCTGGGCATCTTCCCCTGTCTGGGTTTTCAAATTCCACTCTTGGCCACCAATCCTCAAATCCATCCCCCTCAGAGCACCCAGAAGGGTCCATCCAAAGACAGATCTGACCAAGGAACCTCAGACCCTTAGGAGAAAATCCTAATTCCTGTCAGACTCTCAGACCCTGCTCCCAACCGATGTCACCTCTTCCCTCCCAACCCACATTTCGGCTACACCAGCCTTCTCTTGTTTCAGACTACATCAAGTTTATTCCTACCCCAGGGCCTTAGTGCTTACCTTGCCTCTGCCTGTAATTGTCTTTCCCTTACTCTTTGCATTACCTTCTGAGTCTTCAAGTCTCAGATAAAATTTCCCTTTCTCCATACTCCTCCCTCCATCCCACCCCTCATTATCTCCTATTTCCTTAGTATTTTCACTAAAGATAGCCATTGTTTCCCCGTGTGTGTTGTCTGCTGGCCCTGCTAGGCTGCCAGCACCACGAACGCCCTGAGCTACATACCCCCAGCTCTTTTTGAGACAGGGTCTGTTAAGTTGCCCAGGCTGGCTTTAAACTTGTGATCCTCCTGCCTCAGCCTCGGGAGTTTCTGGGATTACAGGCACGTGCCACCATGCCCAGCTCTTTGGCCCCTTTTGTAAGGACATCATCCCATTCATGAGGCTCGGTCTCTCTGGTCTGGTCAGCTCTCAAAGACTTCAACCCCTAATACCTTCCTACCGGAAATGTGGGTTCAACCTAAGAATTTGGGAACACAGCATTCAGCCTCCAGCAAAGGCTGAGCCCTGTGTTCCGATCACAGGGGCATCTCAGTTCCTGGCAGAGAACCTGGCCCTGGGGAGAGACTGGCGGGTGTTGGCTAAGCTCGCTCCAGCACCTCTTCAGGCAGTGGCATCTCGTGGAGACGGACGCCTGCCACGACCTGTGTGCTGGCCTTTGTGGCCTTCTGTAATTATCAAGTATATTTGCTAGCTGTCTCCCCAGAACGAGGACAGACTGTGGCTCATCGCAGCAGCTCCGGTGCCTAGGACATGCTCAAAAGCGCGATAATAAAGGGTTAAGTGAACTCAGGAGGCACAAATAGGGTAGCCACGGGCTTTCGAAGGAAGGGCTGCCAACAGCCAGAGACCGCGGGAAGGGGTTTCGGTAACTGTGCGAGGGGAAAAAAAGAACCGCCTAGAACTTGAGATCTGGGGTGGGGGCCGGCGCTGGGAAGCCGGACGCGAGGCTGCAGCGCCGCAGGTGTGGACGCCCCGCGGAGCGGAGAGCCCGCCAGGCCCGGCGCCATCCAACCCGAACCCCGGCTGCGCGCCAGGAGTGGGACGGCGCCAGGGTCGCCCGCTCACCATGACTTCAGCGAAGATGTCCCCAGCGTACTCGCGTTCCCCCTCCAGCCCCAGCGAGCTCAGGGCCTCCTCCAGCCCCGGCGGCGCGCACAGCCTCTCGGGGCGTCCCGGGGAGACACTGGTGTCCCCGTCGAGGACTGGGGCGCTCGGAAGCTCTGAATCGAGGGAGGCATTAGGACTCTGAAGGGAAGAGGGGCTGGGGTCAGTCCCTGGAGAGAGGCCCACGCGGCAGCTCGGCCCCGTCCCCGGTCCCTGCCCCTCACCAGCATCCTCGGGCCGAGGCAGCGCGCCAAGCCGAGCCGGCGCTTTCAGGAAGGGCGGGACCCGCGCCGGGCGCTTTAATTAGTCCAGGCGCATGCGCAGTGGGCTCCCTTCACCTGAGCAGGTGCAAATGCAAAGACAAGGGTCGGTAGGCAGGCTCTGCCTCCTCCACAGGCCTAAGGTCAGGGGCTAGTGACAAATGCTCATCCTGCTGCCCAGAAGCCGCCGCCCTGAGCCTCGTTTTCCTCAACCATAACACAGGGATTGCAGCCAACAGGGCTGTCCTAAGGATTTCCTAGGACTGTGCAGGGATCAGCACGGAGCCTGCTACCGGAAAAGCTGAAGGCGTGGGAGTGTTAAGGAACGGCTCTGTGCGCCGGCTCTTCAGTGATTGAATCACCTGTGGGTCCTGCCTTGCAGCTGCTCTCCCTGGGTCCATGCCCCACACTTTGTGCCCAACATGCAGCCAGAGGGATCCTGTGCACACCTAATGCAAATCACACCCTCCGTCTGTTCAGAGCTACACCAGGGCTCCCTTCTCCCTCAAGTTGAAGGCCCAGCTCACCTATGTCTTCTGCTTCCATCCCCCACATAAGCCTCTGAGCTCATCTGTCCATCCCCCTCACTCAGTCCCCCCCAGCCACCCACACTGGCCTCTTCCTCATACCTGAGGCCTTTGCACTGAGTGTTCCCTCTGCCAGAAATGCTTTTCCCTCAGACTGTTTCCCTCCCAAACTTCCTTTAAGGTATTTATTTAGATGTCACCTTCTCCATGAAAAGTGCCATTCTAAGCACTTCTCATCCCATATTCTCTGCACTTATTCTCTCCTTAGCACTTATTGCTTTCTAACCAACCAATGTTCGTGAGCCCCATGATGGCAGGGCTTCTTGTCTACCATTCTCCTATTGCTGTATCCCCAGTACCTAAAACAGTGCCTGGCACATAGTCAGTGCCCAATAAATATTTGTTGAAGGAATGAGTGAACAGGCTAGACATAATTTAGATAGTGGCCCAGCATGCCTTTCTGAGGTGGGACAATGGAGCTGAAACCTGAAGGAGGAGAAAGATCCAGACTATAAAGAGAGGGCAGAATATTCCAAGAGGTGGGACCAGCATGAGCAAAGGCCCTGAGGCAGGAAACAGCTTGTTAGTTTCAGGCACCAAGTCAACAACACTGGGAAAAGTGAACAGGAGAGAGAATTGGATATTGGATCAGTGGCTTCCAGTCACACAGTGAAACCCGTTTGCCCATTGTTACATGTGTCACCTCATTTCCTTCTTTTCCCCCACCTCCACTTGAGAAATCCTGGCCTCTTTATGTCCCCCAGATGGTGAAGAGACCCGAGAGATACTACCCTAACCAAGAGATCAGAGTCATCCCCAGTTAAGGGACAAACGGTCATCCTGTGCCTCCTCATAGTGTGATCTCAGGAAGGCATGTCACTTCTGGAAACTCTGTCCCAAATAGTTGGAATTTAACCCTGGGGAAACATCAGGCAATAAGCTCTGATTGAGAACAGTCTGCAGTATACTTACCCTGTGGGCTTCCAACCTGAAGATGCAGTATGGAAACCTGGTGGACCCATTAGCCAGGGCTTTTTATAACTATGAGGACATTACATGTGACTATTAGTAAAATTTGATTAAGGTCTGTTGACAAGAACATTGTGGCAACATTAACTTTCTGACCTTGATAACTGGACCCTGGCTATGTGAGAAAATACCCTTGTTTCATTACAGATACCTAAATATGAACAGCAGGAAGAGAGAAGGCCAAATAAATGTGATAAAGTGCTACGCAGTGCAGTTTTTGTCAATTAAGAAAGTACTACGAGAAACATGGGTGAAGGATGTATTTTATGTTTTTCAGCCTTTTTTTTTGTTTTCCTTTTCAGTGCTGGGGATTGAACGGGGGGCAGAGCTACACCCCCAGCCCACCCCACTTTCTGAGACAGTGTCTCACTAATTTTCCCAGACTGACCTCAAATTTTCAACCCTCCCGTGTCAGAGATGATGGGATCACAGGCATGTGCCACTATGTCTGGCTATTTTATGCACACACATAAAATTTTTGAGACTTACAGAAAGCTGCAAATACAGTCCCCATCATCCCCACACCGTTTCCCCATTAACATCTTGGTGTGGCACATTTGTCACAGTTAACTGATACTGATGTCATTCACAGAATCTATGCTTTATCCGGTCTTCCTGAGCTTTTCCCTCAACCTTTTGTTTTTTCCCTGCCCCAAGAGCCCATCCTGGGAACTAGCCCAGTCAACACTTACGCTCCTACTGGCTCTGCCACATTCTTAAGAATTTCTTCTAAAGATCTTGACAGTGTTAATATTTTTTTTTTAGTTGTAGGTGGTCACAACAATACAATCTCTTTATTTTTATGTTGTGCTGAGGATCGAACCCAGTGCCTCACACACATGCACATGCAAGGCAAGGGCTCTACCACTGAGTGACAGCTCCAGCCCTGGGTGACAGTTTTGAGGGCAGGTCAGCTATTTTGTTATGTCTCCCAACTGGGCTTTGATCAGCTTTATGTTGGTTCGACTGGAGTTTGTGTTTGGGGAAGCCCAGAGGCGGCCAAGCGTCACTCTAGTGACACTCTAGAGCCAGAACACAATGGCTGAGGGCGACCTTGACCGCCTGGCTGGCAGAGTTTGTCCAGTCTTCTCTGAAAAATCACTTTCTTCCCGTCCTCTGTCCTGTGCCCTTGGAGTCTAGGGCTGGGAATATAGCTTGTCTTGCATGCACAAGGCCCTGGATTCCATCCGCAGCACCACAAACCAATTAAAAAAAAAAAAAAAACAACTAATTTTTTGACAGTCTAAGTTCCCCGGGCTGGTTTCTGACTTGGAATCCTCCTGCCAGAATTACAAGTGTGCACCACGGCATCTGGCCATGATCCCCTTTTGAAAGCTATGTGACTCATGTTAAAATCCAGGAATGCAGAACACAAATGCAGTTAAGATGTACAGTAAGCTTCATTGCAGCACGCTGGTAGCAGAAAAAAAAAAAAAAAAAAAAGACCACAACCAACCAAAAAAACCTGAAAGCCAAGTAAATTCCTATCAACAGGGGAGACAGGCCCACTTGGGATACATCTGCAAAGTGTTGGCAGGGATGTGCACCAGAAGTCCCTCCAAAGGTGGATGTGTGAGTTAAAGGAACCTCATTCTTACCCATCACCTGATATGCAATATAAATACACACCTTGGTAGGGGTGGGGGCAAGATGTGGCAGGACATGCTCAGGGGTGTGGTGGCAGCTGGAAGGGCTGTGCCTTTTTATGTCCTTCTGTCCACTTGCAAAGAAGTGTATGCACTCAAGACTCCAGGACATGGGGTGATAGTCACTTTCTTCTTTATACTTTTATTTATACACAGACACGAAAAAAACTTGTTTAAAATGGACAATGCAGAAGATGGATTAATCTACTTAAAATTTAATTTGCAAAATTTGAAACTCTTCATCCTCAAACTAAGAAGCACCAGTTATCTCAGGGTCACTCCAGTTATCTAAGGGTGTTTCAAGCAAGGGACACAGTTGAGCGACAGTGGTTCCTCTGGTGGATCAAGGATGTACCACCAGACCCAGAGGCAGATGGGATGCACCCACTGCAGGGCCAGCCACGGTGCCTGAAGAACTGCACTCACCTTACCGAGGGCTGCGACTAGAGTGAAAAGGAAAGGCTTTTCTTTATAAGTTCCCGATTATCTTAATGCCACTGTGACATACTTTTGTAATTAAAAAGACAATAAGGTCCATATAAAGTCAGAAAACCCAACACGATGGGGTTGGGATGTGGCTCAGTGCTACAGTCTGCCAAGGAAAGCCAGCTCTACCTCTGAGCCACATCCCTAGCTCGCTCTTAAATTTTGAGACAGAGTCTTGCTAAGTTGCTCAGGCTGGCTTTGAACTTGGGGATCCTTCTGCTTCAGCCTCCTCAATCACTGGGATTACAGGAGTGCCCCACTGGTGAAGATTTGTAATCAGGACCAGACCTTCCCATGAGGCTCACTTAAAAATCACAAAGCTTCCCTGTGTGATGCCCTCCTCCCTGCAAAATCTGAAATGAATTCACCTGTGCCAGGCTTGGGAGAGGGAACAGTCCAGCCCAGCCTGTAAGGGCCAGTGACAAGCTGGGGACGGAGGGCAGGTCCAGCTCCCAGCCAGGATAAAAGGCTCCGGGAGTTGGAAAAGTGACTCTAGGAGCTGCAGGAGGCTGTAACCAGGTGCTCTGCTACTCCCAGCTGATGGCAATCGCAAATGCCATCAACACAGATTCTGCTCTGGAATTTGGGGGCCTCAAGCTGCGCGATTTAATATAAATGAGCAAAGAAACTGTGGCAGCGTGTACCTCTCCAGGGCTCAATGACCACATGAAATGAGCCAGCCCCTCCCACTCAGTTCCAGGGCAGGGACACCACACACAGATTGTTTAGAATCCCTCCCCTCTCGAGCCCTGCCCTTGAGTCCAGCCTCCTCTGGCTGGAGCAGTCTCTGTCTGCTCCACCCCAGCCTGCTCTGCAGTTTCACCCCAGCATCCTCCCCTCTGGCCTGGGCTCCCATGTTCATTCCCACTGCCACCTGCTTGACAGGGAACTCAAAGAGCAGTGGAGCAGGAGGTGGATGGTACCCAGGGGCTGGACTCCATAACCAAGCAAGGCTGGGGGTGGCAGCTGGCAAAGTGCAGGCGGGGCCCTGGTCTGAAATGAGTGTCTTTATTGCTTGTACCGTACAAACACAAGGGGTAAGAAGAGCCAGTGGGGACAGGGAGAGCTGTCAGATAAACATCATACACATACGAGAAGGGAAAGAGCCCCCATACCCTCCCCACCCTCCCCACAATGTCTTTCTATGGACTGCCCAGTAGGGAGGAGGATGGGGAGGTCAAACCACAAAAAACAAACCGCACACACCCAGAGACGCCGGGGGCAGGGGGAGCGAGGACATGGGTGGGGAAGCAAGTGGACCCCAGGTACCCGCTCCCCACACACGATGGAGCGCTGGGCGGGTGGGGCCCAAGCGCACACACACCACGCACACTCGAGGGCCCAGACACACTGCCCTCACACACACACACACACACACACACACACAGCCATGCACACCTGCATCCCAGCAGCTCAGGGACGCCCACGGACACAGTCCACAGCACACACACACACACACACACACACACGTGTGCTTACAGCACTGACACGTTCTCTCCATCACGTTCACCTTAAGGCTGCAGAATTTGGGGCCCTGGAGATGGGAAGGGGTGAGGTGGCCTGGGAGCCTCCCTTCTCAGAGGCCCTTAACCCCAGTATGTACCGAAGATGCCCTCCCCTGCCCCTTCTCTCCCCAAGTCCATGGGGCCCAATACTGTCTCGGTGAGATGTGTAACAGCCGAGGCTAGTGCCCTTCTGCCTCAGGCAGAAAGAAGTGGACAATCCTGACCCCCGTCCTCAAAAGGAGCCAAGGCCAGACCCAGGGTCCAGTGGGAGGTAAGGCCAGCTGGAAGGAAGCCCTGGTAAGGCACAGGGTTGGGGGGCAGGCAGGCTGGCCCCCCATTGTTCCTTCTGCCTCACCCACAGAGTTAGCAGAACAACTTGGGGAGGGAAAGGGAAAGGAAGGGCCAGAAGGCAGTGACCCTCTCCTGGTTCCCCATGACGCAGGGATCTGGCTCCATTCACAAGGAGCCCTAACCCCCGATCCCACCGGTCCCTGGACATTATTGCTTTTCTGACCCCAGTATGGGGGTGGCAGGTGGACCTCCTCTCGCCAGACCCCTGGGGCCTAGGCGACAGGCTGTGGAAGGTGGCACGGGTGCTGTCCGCTAGGCGGCCGTCCCACCAGAGGCAGCTTCATCCAGAAGCAGCAGTGTAGCCAGGCTGCCTGCGTGATGCCCAGCCAGAAATTCAGGCAGGACCCGGGGATCCATGCTTCACCCTCACTGGGGCCTGTTTTTGATTAAAAACCTGAATCCATCCTCCCAACAGCCCATGCTGGGGTAGGAGGTGGACAGTCCCTCCACACAAAGGGGAGGTTAGAGGCCAAGGCTGCGGGGACCACTGAGGTGAATTTGGGGGAGGACTGAAGAAGGAACTGGAAATGGGGGTGAGAGAGTGAGGGATGGGGACACAAACCAAAAAGGCAAAATAAAAAGTCTTTTTAAAAAGCCACCCAGTTGGTGGATGGTGGCCATGCAGGAGTCCTGTGGTGGCAATGGGCTGCTCACTCACGGATGCTGGCTGAGTAGGAGAACTGAGGGAAGTGCGTCCGCTGGTCCAGCTCCAGAGAACCCAGGCTGTCATCTGTGGGTCAGGAGGAAGCGTATTTGGGGTACTGGCCTGCAGAGGGCCAGAGGCACCCACAGACTCCCTCAGGATACACCCAGAGGAAGGACTGCAATGGGGTCACAGAATGAACCCAGCAGGAAGTTCCAGCAAGATTGGAAGGGATGGCTCAGAGGCACCTTCCTGACAGAGCCGCCGCAGCCATGTGCCTCCCCCAGGCCCTGGGTAGTCTTGTGTGGGGAAACTCCACAGGCCATCACCCTGACCCTGTGTCCTCTCAAGTGTCCTCCTCCCATTCTCTCCCCATGCCATCACCAAGGTCCAACCCAGACGCCTCAGGCCCAGTCCCCTACCCTGGCTTGCTTCAATCTACCCTCCACGTGCAGCCAGGGGATTGCACAGAACCCTCCCATGGTTCTCACCCCGTGTTCCTGGGATGCTCCCAACTCTGACCCCCATGCCTCCTGCCTCTTCCCTGAGCCCACAGCTACCCTGTCTGCAGCCTGTCCCTTTGACTGCAAAACTCTCTCCACTACTGGAACCAACATGCCACTCTTGCCAGAAAGCACAGGCCAGGTGAGGCACTTCCTCCATGAGACCCCAGTCCCTGGGCTTCTACACCAGGCTGACTGCTCTGGGCTGTCACAAAACCTAGACTGGGAGCTCTCCAACAGCAGGGCCCGGGGATGGCTGGGTCACTGCTGTGAGGCTTTGGAGTAAAAACACAAATAGCTTAAGAGTCAATGAACTAAAAAAAAAAAAGTCAATGAGCTCATTTAGCCCAAAGACCCCAGCCACCTCCTGACCAGTGCTTTCCCTGCAGCTCTGGACTGCGCTGTAACCAATGGCTCCTGGTGACCCTCACCAGACCAAAAAGAACCCAGCAGCAAAAGGCCTGCAAGCAGATGTTAGGGCAAACTGCCCAGAGGCAGACCCCACCTCTCCTCCACCCAGGCAGGCACTGTGATGGCCAACGGGGCCCCCAGACACTCACAGCGGTCCGGGGGTGTGATTGTGATGGACTGGGCGGTGAACTCGTCATCAAAGTACCTTGTGTCAACCTCAGATGTGACCTGAGGCTTGAAGGGTGGCAGGAGCTATGGAAAAGAATAGCCCAGACTCAGGGACCCTGAGGACAGGCCTTGACCTAGGTCACCCACAAATGGAACAGGCCCCCAGGAGTTGCTGGAGGCACACAGGTGGGCACTCACCTTCTTTTGCACCACATCCTGCCAGTTGATGCTGAGGAAGAACCTGTGCTCCATGACCTCCTTGGCATCGCTGGGCCCCCCACCGAGCCTGGGCAGAGACGGCCATCAGCACCTATCTCCCAGAGCAGCTGGGTCTGGGAGATGGGCTTCAGTGCAAGCAGGCCAGAGCCTCCAGCGGGAAGTATCTGCACAGCCTTTCGCAATTCTGTCCCAGCCACAAACCACCACTTCACAGAGGGGGAAGTCAAGGCTCAGGAAGGGGCGCTCATGACCACCTGGTCTCACAGCCTGCCTCACTGAGTCCAGCAAGAGTGGGCAGGAGGGCTTGGCCACAAGACTGCCCAGTCCTCAAAATCCCCAAACCCCATGGAAGGGCAGGGAGGGCCAAGCATGGGCCTGGCCAAGGGGAAGCCCTTCAGGTGCTAGCTGTGTCTACCACAGGCTGCATGGGGGATGACATACTGCAGGCCCATAGCAAGTGCACCTGTAGACACTGCTCTCTCTAGGCCAAGGGCAGCGGCAGCAGGTAGCACTGAGATGGGCGGGCAGATGCCAGCCCTCACCTCTGCTTAGGGTCCTTTTTCAGCAGCCCAGCCAGCAGGGACTTGGCCTCGGGACCAAGCGTGCGTGGGAAGCGGATCTCCTCCATGAGGATGAGCTCAAAGAGGCGCTCATGGTCCTGGTTGTAGAAGGGCAGGCGGCCGCACATCATCTCGTACATGACCACGCCCAGCCCCCACCAGTCCACGGCCCGGCCGTAGTCATTGTCCTCCAGCACCTGGGGAGGGAGGGGCAATAAGCAGCCAAGCCACAGTCCAGGGCCAGGCAGGGGAGAGAGGAGTCAGTTTTGCCCTCAGCGTCTAAGCCAGGCAGGCACACAGGCCCGGGGGCCCTCCACCCTTGGCCTACGTGTTCCTGGGCCCCCAGCTCCAGACACCTCAGGTGCCAGGTACTCCGGGGTCCCACAGAAGGTTTTCATGGTGGCACCGTCACTGATGCCCTCTTTGCAGAGGCCAAAGTCGGTGATCTTGATGTGGCCATCTTTGTCCAGCATGAGGTTTTCCAGCTGCAGGAAAAGTCAATAGATGAGGGGAACATCCTCATCTTCTGTCACCAGGCTTCTGTCACCAGCCTTCCCCTCCAAGGGGCAACAGGCTTGGGTGGTAACTGTCCAGCCAGCAGCTCCTCAGCACTGACTCCTGGGGCCAGGATGAGCCCAGTGCATGGCCACACAGGCTGAGGCGCAGAGGGAGGCCAGGCCCAATGCCTCCCTTCCTCTAGCCACCCCAGGCAAGCTGAAGGAGCCAGGCCCTGCTCCAGCTGCTGCCTCTATTGTGGGCTGCAGTTACTTAAGATCCAATTGGAACTGAGGGCACTATCCTTCTTCTATTTTTTATTAAACTTTTTTTCTTTTAATTATGATACACACATCACAAAAGAAACAGAAAACACAAATGAGAGAGGCAGTAGAGCCTCTGTGCAAACTGTGAGGTCAAGAAATAACATCAGCAGCCCTCTGGAACCCTAATGTGCCCCTTCCCAGGTATTAACTATCTCCCACCCCAACCCCCACAGTGAAAAGCAACTTTTTTTTTTAGGTACCAGGGATTGAGCCCAGGGGCACCTAACCACTGAAGCACATCCCCAGTCCTTTTTATATTTTGTTTTGAGACAGGGTTTTGCTAAGTTACTTAGGACCTCATTAAATTGCTGGGGCTGGCCCTGAACTCATGATCCTCTGTCCTGCCTTACTTAGCCTCTCAAGTTGCTGGGATTAGGCATGTGCTACCGTGCCCAGTGAGAAATCACTTTTTTAATTCCTTGCTTTTCTCTATAGTTTTGTTTTCTTTTGTGGAGCTGGATATGGAACTCGGGGCCTTGTGAATGCCTGCCACTGAAATACCTCAGCCCTTTCCTCACTGGTTTTGACATCTACGTGCACACCTGTGAGCAGTGCTGGACGTGTCCCACCTACTCTGGCCTTTCCCCCGACTCCAGCCTATGAGCTGCATCAGCACCCCTGGGCAGCTGGGCTGCTCTCTCTGCTGCAATCCTGCCGTGGAGACACCACAGTGCACCGTGCCTGTTCCACAGCAGCAGGCATTCTGAGCTAGTAACAGTGCTGCTCTGAGTACACGCACACTTTCTGGGGTGAGCACGTGTCCCTGTTTCCGCTGTGCACACAGCAGGGCAGGTGGCGAGTGTTCAGCTTTGGTGGAGGCTGCTACTTTCTAGAGTTTGTACCAACTGACACCCTCACCTGAAGCCCTGGAGCCGCACAGCGACTGGGAAAGGCCTTCACAGTGGAACCACCTGGGCCCACCTCCCCGTGTGAGTGCCATGCGCATGCCAGGGGCCAGCCTGGCCTGCCGAGGGCACACCCTCGATCCCAGCCACCTGCTCACCTTGATGTCACGGTACACCACGTCCCGTGAGTGCAAGTACTCGAGAGCTGAGACGATCTCTGCACCATAAAACCGGGCCCGCTCCTCTGTGAAGACACGCTCCCGGGATAAGTGGAAGAACAGCTGCAGGGGACAGGGGAAGGTTAGACCCCAGCCTCGGGAAGGGAGGATGGCCCAGCACCCAGTCCCATGACAGAGTGACACCTGCTCCCTGAGCAGGCAGGACATCAAGAGGCACCAAGTGAGGGGTGGTGAAATAACAGCTCACACAAAGAGAAAAACCAAGCAAGGGACGAAAAATAAGGGGCAGTCAGCAGGTGCCCACAGAAAGATAAGGAACAGGTGAAGGCATCGGTGACAGCAGGGAGACAGGCATGTCACAAGCAAGTGACAGAACATGCTGAGCAAGACCAAGTCAGACAGATATGACCACATCCCGGTCAGTCACATGTGTGTCCAGAGGGTAAGAGGAGGAGCAGGGGACAAGAGCAAGCATGAGCCACTCAGTGACAGAGTGGCTGGATCAGTCTGCACAGGGAGGACCTGGGGTCAGAGGGCTGGTGCGTCTTTACCTCCCTAACAACATCCTTCCTCTCATTGTCGGCTTACCGCCCCACAACCTCTCCCAACCCCTCTGCACCTGGGTTTGGATTCTGCCCTGAAAACTCTCTCAACAGCTGTGTGAACTTGGGCAAGCCATTTAACCTCTCTGAATCTCAGTTCCCCACCTGCAAAATGGAGATGATGCCATCTGGCTCAAAGGAGCAGGGTGGGGGGTGAGGGCGGAACCCAGTGATAGGAAGCCTCCATCTGTCCCTTCCATCTCACCCAGATCCTGCCCCCATACTCTGGAAGGAGACCCCCACATGCAAGGCCGGTGGCTGGGGCTTACCTCACCCCCGTTGGCATACTCCATGACGAAGCACAGGCGGTCGTGGGTCTGGAAGGCATACTTCAGCGCCTGAGGGAGGAGGGTACAAGGGCCACTGGGGTCAGGGGGGGAAGAGAGCTCTGCCTAGTCCGGGAGGAGAAAGCAGTTTATTCTACCTGTACACACCCGCCCTGGCCTGGGCTGCTGTCAGGCAGGTGAGTTCAAATCCCAGGCACCGGTGAGGGATAAAGTGTGTTCTAGGCAAGCAGGATTTGTCTTCCTTCTTGTTTTAACAGTAAGTGTGTTAATAGCTCTCTCTCTCTCTCTCTCTCACACACACACACACACTAGGCACAGCAGTGACTTTAAAGCCAAGTCTAAAGACAGGGTGAACAAGCTGTCAGCCAACCAACAGGTCCCAAGCTGTATGTAAGGAGCCCTCCAGGAGGTTCCTCAGGTCACCTTGGACACCTCTCTGCTCGAAACAACTCTGCAGTTCTGTCTTCCACACTGAGGCACCTCCTAAGATGACATGAACAACACTACGGCTTCACAGGCTACCTGCACAACTAAGCAAGAATCGGCACAGAAACCACCCTCCATCTAGTTCTCCTAACTGATACCCAATGGCCTTGATGGAGACTGCAGCCCTAAGACACCTCCCTCCCCCAAAGAGGGGTCCACTGGGCCAAGGCAACAGGCAATATAATGACCACACATCTGCTTCCATGATACCTCAAAACCAAAATCAAAATCAAAAGTCTTTCCATTTGGACCAGGCAGGTTGGTTCTGCCCATCCACAAAGACAGCTCTGTGCTCTCCCAGGGCTGTCCCACATCATGAACCGCCACCTCTGAGGAAAGTGCCACCCTGCATCAGGGCCTTGATTCAGACAATATGGGGAGCACACTGAGGCTGTGCTCTGTAGTGGGAGGTTTGGACTCTCCCTGAACTCTGCAAAATGGGCTGGCCTGGAGCCCCACCACCCACTGCCATCTGAGAAGGGGGGTGACTCACAGTGAGGAAGGGGTGCCTGGTGTTCTGGAGGACCCGGCTCTCAGTGACGGTGTGAGCGACTTCATCCTGCAGACAGAGAGTGTGGGTGAGCAGTTGTGACCACACACACCCCAGCCTGAGGCCTGGGGGAGTAGCACCTGAGTAAGACCAATTCCATTCTTTGCCATCAAAAAAAAAAAAAAAGGACCCAGATATGGACAGTCAGCAGCTCTCAAAACTACAAGAAGAGTTGATTGAGATTCTACAACAGGAGGGGCTAGGATCTTACAAAGGCTGGGCTCAACCCTCAGTCAGTCTCTCTCTCTCTCTCTCTCACACACACACACACACACACACACACACACACACTCTCACACGGGAAGCCGCTGCTCTGGACTGAGCTCCTGCACTAGGCTCTAGTAGAGTCACTCATACCAAATGTCACATGATCAAATGGAATGTTAAGAAAGCAGCTAGATTCCAAAACAGACCATTATTCCTAAAAATGGGAGATTCCAGTCTACCTGAATCAACATGAAAAGAAAGTCCTCGCTGCTTTAACCCCTACAAAAGGAAGTATGAGGTAATTTGATGTTACCAGGTCCACTTTTTTTTAATGGTGTTTCCTTGTTCCCTGACAACACTCACTGCTCTGCCATTGCCCAGTGGGACTTCTCCCTCTATTTCACAGAACGGAGGTGGCCTCAGTTAACAGATCACAAATAAAAGCTAGTAAGACCTCAAACTACATGAGCTGTTATTTTGTCTCCTGAAACCCCCAAGGAAGCCAGTGCACGGCCACGAGGATCCACCTTGGCAATGATGACCTCCTTCCGCAGGATCTTCATGGCGTAGTAGCGGCCAGTAGCCTTCTCCCGCACAAGGATGACTTTGCCAAAAGTGCCCTTGCCGAGGAGTTTGAGATAGTCGAAGTCATTCATGGTCTGAGGGGAGGGAAAAAGCAGGGGCAGTCAAGGACCTGGCAATCGGCCATGGAAGGAAATCCTTTAATAAGGAAAGGGGAAAGATACCACTACAGGAGCAGGGAGGGAGCTCTGGGCAGCAGCTCTGTTCTGAAGGGGCTATGGCCAGGCACTCCCAGGCACAAGCTATGCGGGGCAGGCCTGGAGCTCTGAATGGGGCCGCCTAGTCTTTACAACCCCCCAGGACGAGTCCGTGGCAGCTCTGTCCATGGCTGCCCCTCACCCCAGGGCCAGAGAAGCCCTGTACCATCCATAACTTGGAACCACCCCATCTTGCACAGCATCTATGAAGTCTCTCCAGAGACCCCTGCACATCTGCATGAAAACCAAGGGAGGCTGGGTTGGTCAGCCCGCCCCAGGCCACCTGCCCCCAGCGCGTACCACTTTGGCCCGTGCTTTGCTGACAGCCACTTCCATCTCCTCGGCTGTGGAAGAGTCACTGGGGGAACCACACTTGTAGTCCATGGGGTCCTCGCCAGGGCCCCGCTGCTTGAGGCTGTTGGCGACCATTTGGATGGCCCGCATCCACTCCTCCCTGTGTGGGGACACACAAGTCTTAGACCTTGACTGGGAAAGCAGACGGCTACCTCGCAGCCCAGACACACCGCCTCCAATGGGTGAGCAGATGGGCAAACCTCTTTGGGAGCTTTGGAGAGATCTAAGACAGGTTGAGCTGACAGGATCCGACTGAAACTTCACAGACCTCTGACTGTGGAGGTGGGAGAGTCAAGAGTGGAATAAAAGAGAGGTCACCCATTGTCCAGGAGTGGCCTGGCCTGAGGGTCCTGTGCAGACAGGTAGCACTGAAATGATCAAAGTGGGCTGACTACTTTTGTTCACAGCCCCTTGAAAAGAAGCCACCAACTTGAACCCTGAATGAGGGAGCCCGTGCTCCTGAGCTGCTCAGAACACACGAGCAGTGCAGGTTTACAGGTCTCAACTGTTTTGTGAAGCAAAACCAAGAGTAAATTAAGCATTCAAGCACCAATGCAGCTAAAGAATTCACAGGGAGAGCTGGCCAGCAGAACTCCCTGGAGGGACTGGCTGCTGAGGTAGAGTGTGGGGGCTGCAAGGCAGGGACAGAAAGAGATGGAGGAGAAGTGGTCTCAGCAGAAAGGACCTGGTTTGAAAACAATAAATTGGCTTTGTCACTCATGATTTAGTTGTTGGGAGCAAATTTTCTTTTGATACTTGCAAACTGTTCTTTGTCTAGTTAGTGGAAATGACCGCAGACCAAAAAGAAAAAAAATATTAGGCTTAATGACACTCAATTGTTCACATCCCCCCATTTCTGACTCACCACACAGCAATTCTAGTGGTTCAACCTAACATATTTTGAACCCCCATGTATTACGCTTATGTCTAGAAATCAGCCACATTACCAGCGGGAAATAGAAAATGTTCACTAAGAATGAGACAATTCAGAGAGTAAGCAGGCAGCCTCCCAAATTCCGAAAACTGAAAGAAGCCACGGTGTGTGCAGCCAGCGCTGGCAGAAAGCCACCAAGAACCAAGAGCGGCCGAGTTCTTCATGCACACGCATCCTCTAGCTGCCCTCCACCAGCCTCTGTCCCACGGCATCAAGCAGGGCCACTTCCTTACCTATCAGCCCAGCAATGCATTTCCCATGTTTTGACACTGCTGGAACACAGAAGTGTCTTACAGTGGCAGCCTCTCTCCACTTAATTGGGCACTGCTATTTTTTGGTATTATAAACACTCAGAGAGCACTCACTGTTATTCACCACCCTCTCCTCCTTTCTTTCAAAGGAGGAAACTGAGGCACAGATTAAAAAATCAAAAGTAAGAAAAACATGGCAGCTGCTGCAAGCCTGGCAGCTGGACTCCCACTGGACTTGAGGCCTTCCCCAGGGCCAATGGGCCAGACAGTTCTTGCCCAGATCTGTGGCTTGCTGAAGCAAGCTGGAACTAAGCTCAGAGATTCCCGTTAGTGCACAGGAGGCTCTTCCTCCTCAAACTGGCTTCACTCCCCTGAGACCATGCTTTGTAAGATGGAGGTGAGTATCCACCATATCATGTTTTGAAACAGATACACAAACATCAAGTGTTGGCACATGGCCCCTTCCCACCCAAGAAAAGTCTGGGGTCCCCATAACCCATATATGTCAACCCCATGAGGAGCTTTGAGTGTGGTATGCCTCCTGTACCTGTACAGGTGTTCAGTAGGTATCTAAGTAATGAACAAGCAAGGCAGCCAAAGTCTGAGTGGCCCCAGGGCCTATGCACAGCAAGGCCACTGCACACCCAGGCAGAGTGGGGTTGGCCTCTTCCCTCCCTGACCCAGCACTTCTAGCCAGCATTTCTCAACTGGTTTTAACCCATGCTCCCTTTGGAACAAGTCACAGCCTAAAGCCCAATGCCTATATTAATTTCCCTGTTTTCAGAAAAAAAAAAAGGGAAAGAGTAGGGACACATCCTATGATATGCCTTGTCAATCACAGCTGTCATAGAAATTTTAAAATCGTAGATAAAAAACAAAGTCACACAGGCAGGCACAGTGGGACACACCTGTAATTCCAGTGACTCAAGAGACTGAGACAGGAGGATCACAAGTTCAAACTAGCCTTGGCAACTCAGTGAGACCCTGTCTCAAAATAAAAATAAAAAAGGCTGGGAAGATGGCTCATTGGTACAGTACCCTAGATTCAACCCCAGACTGCAGAAAGAAAATCACAGATCTCCTAAAGGATACGAACAGTGTGATCATACATACAACCTCATGGAGAGAAATTTTGAGATTGTGAAAAAAGCTGGCTGCAGATTAAGACCCACAGTGTGATATCAACTTTCTGACAAAGAGAGGGATGGAGTGAACACAGCACCCCAGAAGCAACTCTGAGCCTGGCAGATCAGCTGTACGGGTGTCCCATCCTTTCCAGCCTCATCCCCGCCTCAGCACGGCAGCTGCTGAAGCAGGGCGGACTGCCTTGTGGAGAGCAGCAGGCCCAGGGCCTGGTCCAGGAAGCACCAGCCTCGGGGAAGGTGTGAAGGCAAGGCGTGGGGCCAAACGGATCCACCAAGGATGAAGGAGGTGGATGCGGGTAACTGAGGCCCTCCCCAACGCTGACCAGCTGCCGGTCCAGTTCCAACTGGACTGAGGTTACAAGCTTGCAGCACTCAGAATTCCAGAGAAAAAGTAAGAGCCTCTGTCCAGGACACTCCTCAAAGGTTTCAACACAGTGTCTGGGGCAGAGGGGAGCTTCTACCCAAAGCTGGGGCTAAAAGGAGAGCTCTTAAGGAAACCAACCCCCTCCCTGGTTAAGAGTCACAACTTAGGAAAATAACAGCAGTGAGTGTGCAGCTCCACAGCCACAACCTCAAGAGCATGGGAAGGAAGGGTTCTGACATGGAGATGGAGGCACAGAGAGGTAGATCACCTGTGGCGGTTACACAGCTGGAGACAGCAGAGCTGGGACTCAGTGCCAGGCAACCCATTCTTCCCTAGTCCCCACTGCCTTTCCCTGTGCTGGGGGTCTGAGTGTCAGACTTGAGAGAAGCTGAGGAAAGCTCCAGCCTTACTTCCTAGAACAGGTCCAGGAGAATCAACCAAAGATACTCTCGGGCAGGTCCACGGACCAAGGGACATCATACCAAGGGACCTTGAAGCCAAGCAAACTGATGCCTCCCCTTGGAAGCTGTGAGGTGGACCACATTCCAGAGGAGGCCTCTCCCACTGGACACCACCCCCAGACACCCTCCACACAGGCAGCCACCATGATGCTGTGAGAAGTAACACCTTTAACCCTCCCAATGACCAAGGCAGCAGAAACTGTGATCCACGTCATGCTACAAATAGGGAAACTGAGGCACAGGGAGGCTGATGTTTGCTCACTTACACAGCCAGTAAGCAGAGGCCTGGGAACACCAACCCAGGCATTCCTTCTTCACCCAGGAGCACTTCTCCCATCAGGGGTATCTTCCAGAACCTTCTCATCCTCACTTGGGTTTCAGGGCCAAGAATATATGGGGAGCTACATTTGCCCAAGCGGCACTAGGGAGGGCGTCACGTGTACAGCATAGGAGCAGCACTGGGCAGCTGGGAGCCAAGCCTTGAATCCATGTGGCCCTCACTGGCCCAACCTCTCCAGTTGTTGTCTGCCTCCCACATAAAGCACGGGTCACACAGTAGCTAAGAGCAGACTCTAGTGCTGATGGCCTGGGTTCAAACCAGCTCTGCCTCTTCCTTCAGGAGATGCTGGGCAGGTCATCTAACATTCATCAGCGAGCTGATCTGTAAAGCAAGCACTAGTGGTTCACACAGGGGAGATGTGAGCTGCTGGACACGAAGCACAGAGGAAGTGACTCAATGGATTGTTGTGAGGATTCACCTTGCCAGCCAGTCAATGTTTACCAAGTGCCTCCTACAAGCCAGGCCTTGTTTGGGTGCTAAGGATGCAGCAGGAAACAGCTCACTAGAGTTCCTAGTCTAACGGGGGAAGCCAACTGTGTAAAAATACAGCAGTTTGGCTGGGGTTGTGGCTCAGTGGTACAGCATTTGCCAAACATGTATGAGGAACTGGGTTTGATTCTCAGCACCACATATGAATAAATGAATAAAATAAAGGTCCATCAACATCTTAAATTAAATTGCACATTCTTCTGCTGGGCGTGATGGTGCATGCCTATAATCCCAGTGGCTTGGGAGGCTGACACAGGAGGATTGCGAGTTCAAAGCCAGCCTCAGCAATGGCTAGGCACTAAGCAACTCAATGAGAACCTGTCTCTAAACAAAACACAAAATAGAGCTGGGGATGTGGCTCAGGGGTCAAGTGCCCCTGAGTTCAATCTCCAGTACAAAAAAAAAAAAAAAAATTGCATGTTCTTCTGAGTATTGTGATGAACTCTCAGGTTATATCCCACCTAGCAGGACATGAATCATCTCTGTCCAATGTATCCATGCTGTATATGCTACCCACCCGTATGTCACTTAGTAGCCTCTTGGCTACTACAGATCAAATGTAGCAGTACCAAAGTATTTGTGTTCAAGTAAGCCTTCTAGAGTGCTCTAACACATCACTACAATGCCTAGGTCAGTCACTTCATTTTATTTCATCATGTAGGCACTGGGTCATCCTCCAATATCATCATGAGAAGAAGGGTGAGTACAGTAGTACAATAAGATATTTTGATTGGGCTGGGATTGTAGCTCAGCGGTAGAGTGCTCGCCTAGCAAGGACGGGACCTGGGTTCGATCCTCAGCACCACATAAAAATAAAGGCGGTGTGTTATGTCCATCTACACCTAAAAGATAAATATTTTTAAAAAAAGATATTTTGAGAGAGAGACCATATTCACATAACTTAATTTTGGTACAACAGATTGAACCCAGGGTACTTAACCACTGAGCCACACCCCAGCCCTTTTATTTTGAGACAGTACCTCGCTAAGTTGCTTAACAGCCTCCCTACGTTACTAAGGCTGCCTCTGAACTTGCTATCCTCCTGTCTCAGCCTCCTGAGCTGCTGGGATTACAGGCGTGTGCTACCACACTTTTATAACATAATGTAACTTTTAC